TCAATTCTTTTAATAAATCTTCAAAAAAGATTTGTTTTGCTGTTCAAAGAAATTAAAATAAGTAGTGGATAATTTCTTTATCATATTAAAATTCAATTTTTACAAATAACAATTTTATTTAAAAAAAATTCCAAATTTTCTTTATTTTGAAATATCTCCAACTTTGACGAAAAGAATACTAAAAATCACTTGAGAGTATGAGTGCTGTTTTCACTATGTTTTGACTCACATCCACGTCCCAAAGTAGAATTATTTAACAAAAAATAGCACTAGAATAATTGAAGAAATATTAGAATACATAATTTGAAATATTTCTTACCAGATTGCAATTACTTGAAGTTGATAAACACTTAACCAAATAATCGAGTTGCATGATAAAATATTTTCAGGTAAGTTTGTCAAGAATACATGTGGCTACGAGAAAATATCTTTTAATCCCAAAAATAAAATATGTTTTCATACATATGATGAACAATAATAGCAAAACAAGGAAATTACAGATAAAATGACCGTGGCGTGATTATCTTCGATATTCACTATTATCAATATTTGAATGACATAAGAAATAAATGAAGAATATAAATTCATTTTAAAAAAATCATATTTATCATGATGATACAAACAAAAAAATAAATTATAAATTTCATATTAGTAGATATATTTATATTAATTCTGAAAATTTTTTAATATCTAAAAGTTATTCAATTCATTTTATAATAATTTATTAAATATATGTAATCATATATATTCAACTTAAATAACGGTATATTTATCAATGGTTTTATTTTCGATAGATTTTCTTTTGTTGAACAATTTATTTGATGAAAATTAAAGGAATTCTTCAATTTATATCGAAATAATTACAAAGCATCACAAGTTTAGAAATTCAATTCTTTGAAATAATATGAAAAATGAATGAAAAAGAGTAAGACACATTAACTATTTTGAGAATGAAAGTGATGATTATGATGATAAAAGCGAACATGACAATGCAGTTGAGTGGATAAGCTATTGATATACCATTCTTCTGGTAGATAAAGCTGTAGATTTTTTATTTTAAACTAAAATAAAAACGATTCCCCTCTTTTTATCCAACCATCTTAGATATTATATCAGTTTAATCAGTGGGATTTTGTCACAATTAGTAATTGTTGATATAAAACAATTCTCTTTCAATTTTTTATAATGCCGAGCACTGTTTTAACTATCATCGAGTCATTTAGTTCATATCCGTGTTGTAGTCAAAATTAAAATACAGTCCAATTTCAAATTTGACTAGTCGAAATTGAAATGTTATTTTTGCCTAGTCAGAATTCAAATTTCAATCCTGACTAGTCAAGTTTGACTGAATTTTAATATTGTCTATCACATTCTATAAAATTATATAAGAATATATAATTCATTTCTTCTATCAACTTATATTCAAAGACATGGCAACGGCAAATGACAAAACACTATGTTTCAAATGTAATGAAGATAAAATAACATATTCTTGTAAAGGATGTTCAAAGGAATTTTGTATAACGGATTTAACAGAACATCGTCAACTATTAGTTAATGAATTACATTTTATCACCAATGAATATAATGAATTTAAACAAACAATGAATCAACAAAAACAAAATCCACATAATCATGCACTAATAGAACAAATTAATCAATGGGAAATAGAATCAATTGTGAAAATTCAAGAAAAAGCACAAGAGTATAGAGAACTTGTTATTGCATCAACACAAACATATATTAATGATATTGAAACGAAATTTAAAGACTTGAATGAACAAATAAAACAAATGCAAAAAGAAAACGAATTTAATGAAATTAGTTTAAATTATTTAACAAACCAATTAATAGAAATTACACAAGAATTAAATAATCCATCAAAAATTTCTGTTAAAGAAGATTTACAATCATTTATTGATGGAATTTCAATTATTTCATCGAAAAGTAAGCTTTTATCAAATAATTTCTAAAAGAATAATTCTTATTTTCTAAGAATGTATATTAACAAACTATAAAAACAAAGAAAAGTGAAGAGATTATTTGTTTTACAAAAACTAAATCAACAAAATCTTTTCTTGTTTCTTCAATAAAAAACAACTTTTCTTCTTTTTCTTTTCATGTTTTTCTAGAATCAAAATTCAACAAATTGAAACAAAATGCCATTACTGTGGCTGGTGGAAATGGAAAAGGACAACAATTAAATCAACTCAATTACCCTTTTGGAATCTTTATCGATGAAAATAAGAATATTTTCATTGCTGATTGTACTAATCATCGTATTATTAACTGGGAACATAATGCAAAGCAAGGACAAATCATTGCAGGTGGAAATAAACAAGGGAATCGAATGAATCAATTGAATTATCCAACAGGTATGATTGTTAATCAACAAAATCATTCCATCATCATTGCTGATTTGGCTAACAGCCGAGTGATTCAATGGTGCAATCAAAATCAACAAATTCTCATTCGCAATATTGACTGTTACGGCTTGGTAATCGATAAGCATGGATTTCTCTATGTTTCTGACTATAAGAAGAATGAAGTAAGACGATGGAAAATGGGTGAATACAACAACGAAGGAGTTATAGTGGCAGGTGGAAATGGACAAGGAGGTGGACTCAATCAACTGAATTATCCTACCTTTATCTTTGTTGATGAAGATCAATCTATTTATGTTTCAGATTGCTTCAATCATCGTGTGATGAAATGGAGAAAAGATGCAAAAGAAGGAACAATTGTGGCTGGAGGAAATGGTAAAGGAGAAAAGTTGAATCAATTATCTTCACCTGAAGGAGTCATTGTTGATGCTTCGAGTCAAATCTATGTGGCAGATAGTGGGAATCACCGAATAATGCGTTGGTGTGAAGGAAAAGAAGAAGGTGAAATTGTTGTTGGTGGAAATGGTGCAGGAAATCAACCAAATCAATTAAATGGTCCTACAGGTTTATGTTTCGATGTTGAAGAAAATCTTTATATCGTTGATTTTGAAAATGATCGAATTCAAAAATTTGAAATAATCGTGTAAATAAATTTTGATTGTCGAGAAAAGAAAAAAAAATTTTATTGTTGAAAATCAATGAAAAAATTGAATAAATTTTTGATAAGAAAATAACGAAGAAAAAAAATCTTGTTAGCTTTTTTATCAACCTTGAATTTAATTGGTAATTTTTGTCGAGTTTTACAGAAGAAAAGGAAAGAAATAAAAACTATCATAAAATGATTTAATTATTTATTAGTTTTATTATAAAAAGATTAGATTCTAATTAAAATCATTCAAGATCTACTCAATTGTATTAGATTTCATCGGAATTATTTCTTATAATATTTAGTTTTTGAAAATCTAACAAAAAAAATTCAATTATTTGTTTACATAGAATAAAAACTAAGAGATAAACTAATTATAATTTCAATATTTACATTCTTATCTAATAAATTTATAATAAATAAGTTTATCAAGAAAAAGAGTATAATGAAGAATCAGTTTATTCATTCTTTTTATAAAATTATATTTGAGAAAAAAATTCATTGAACCAATTATAGAATTTCTATTTAATTAAACAAAATTTTTACTAAAAATAAAATTGAATTTTAATTATTATTTCAATTGAAAAAGCATTCATATCTCTAAGATGAACATCAACAGGACTTTCTAAAAAGTGTTCATCTTACAGAGGTTTCGCGTTGAATGAAGCTTTAAATGTATATAGTATAAGATTAGTATAGACAAATCATAGCTATGCAGTACCAGCGGCTTCAGGGTGGGTGAAGACATGAGCGAAAGATTAATCTAACACCCACACTCTCATCAAAGTTCGTATCGAATTGAATGCTTTGAAATTCGTCTTCTATATACCTCTCATATATGGTCCATTGTAATGGTCTATAGATGATTTCTAGAATGAAGTGAATCAACAGGTGAAAAATTTCTAATTATCTTGAAAGTGTGGGTGTGGCTGTGAGTGTTATAGTTATCCCACATCTTCACAAAACGCTTTTTTCGGTAAACTAACTATCAATTATATTACTACATTCCGAATACTGCCGTTTAGTACAACAAAGAACGTTTTATTAGTATCTACAACAAGGAAATTATATAGAGCATCATCAGTATACAATCCTCGGTCTACATTTTTGAACGTAATGACCCATTACAAATCTTCTGAAGACTGTCCGACGATGGGTTTTTCAAATATTTCTCTTTAGTTTTATTGAAAATCTTCTGGGTAGTTGTAAATAGCGAAATCATTCATAGATTTATTGAAATAATCAAAAATAGGATATTAAGAAATGGACGAAAGAATCAAATTTAATCGCACTTGATCATGTTATTCTTTTTAGATCGATTTCCTTTAATGTTCACTTATTAATATGTGCTGTGAGGTAATGATGCCAAAGAATACTGTTCTCTATTAGAGAAAGAGCCTCTTTTATTGTTCATAACAAATGGGGTGTCGATGTGGCTTCCTTAAGGAGTCTCTATTAAGACTATTTTCTGTATTAACAATATATACAAACTAAAGTGTTTGATTGAATTTATTTTTAGTGATCAATGATATATAATGAAAAGCAATCATACAATGAGATCAAACTCGCAAACTAATCAGTTAATGGTTAATAGTTGATACTTCTCATCAGTTTCCACTACTACTCAACCTGCAAAGGGTGGATGTGACTGTAGATTCTGATATGATTCTTCATATCCACACCCAATCACATCTTCATCCGTGTACTCAAACTACTCTTTTCGTCGAAAGATAGGATCAGTTTGATTTCCATTGATTCAAGCAAAAAAAAAATACTACAAGAAGCTGAAAGCATAAGCATTAATTAGTTTGAGTGAAAGATTGACAATGGGAAAGTTTTATGAAATGTTTTGTTATCGAACGAACATTGTCATTCGCTCCATATTGTTAAGTGATTGATCATATGATATGTTTTGTTGGTAGAGTGCTGAAATATGGATAAGGATGTTAAGTATGATGGACGGATAAATTTTAAGAGTGTATGAGAACACTGACGGTGTTGTCACCAATGTTTGTGACGATAATATCGGGTTTATTATCACTGTTCACATCGATCACTGCTACTGAATATGGATTTCGACCACCTGAGTAATTAGTTTCAGAAGAAAAAGTGCCGTTATCTACGTTGAGAAGAACACTGATGGTGTTTGCATCTGTATTTGTAGTGACAATATCAGGTTTGTTGTCACTGTTCACATCGACTACTGCTATTGACATCACACCTCCAGCAACTGAGTAATTAGTTTGAGAAGAAAAAGTGCCATTGCCTACGTTGAGAAGAACACTGACGGTGTTGTCACCAATATTTGTGACGATAATATCGGGTTTATTGTCACTGTTCACATCGATCACTGCTACTGAATATGGATATGGACCAACTGAGTAATTAGTTTGAGATGAAAAAGTGCCGTTGCCTCTATTGAGAAGAACACTGGCGGTGTTTGAATCTCTATTTGCAGTAACAATATCGGATTTATTGTCGTTGTTCAGATCGGTTACTGCTACTGACCATGGACTGTCACCAACTGCGTGAGTAGTTTGAGGAGAAAAATTGCCGTTGCCTATGTTAAGAAGAATACTGATAGCATCTGTATTCCAGTTTGCAGTGATAATATCGGGTTGATTGTCGTTGTTCACATCAGTTACTGCTATCGATCGTATAAATGCGCCTTTAACTGCGTAAATAGTTGGAGGAGAAAAACTGCCATTGCCTGTGTTGAGAAGAACACTGACGTTGAAAGCACCATGTGCAGTGACTATATCGGGTTTATTGTCACTGTTCATATCGGCTACTGCTACTAAGTCTGGATATTGACCAACTGAATAATTAGTTTGAGAAGAAAAAGTACCGTTGCCTACGTTGAGAAGAACACTGATGGTGTTTGAGATTTTATTTACGGTAACAATATCGGGTTTATTATCGTTGTTCACATCGGCTACTGCTACTGATTCTGGACGTTGACCAACTGAGTAAACGGTTTGACTAAGAAATATACTATAACGAGCTGGTAAACAAGAAAAAAAAGATTTAGATTACAGTTTTTATCATTAAAAAACATTATTTTATCGTCTTATTCTATTTAATATGTAACAGTTTATCTCAACTGAAAGCAAACCAATCAATCAATAAAATCATTCTACTATATTTATGACTAATTGTAATCCTCGACAATTTCGTTACTTACATTGTTTTTCTAATTCTGTTTATCGTCATCAACGACGTTTCAGTCTATTTCGACATTACCACAGTTAATATTAATCTCGAATTCAGTTAATACATTTGTCTCTTATGCATTCGTTTTTTCATGCGACATCATGCTTTGCAATGTCTTTTCAATACAAAATTTATTTTGTGACATTCTAAACATATTTTGACGAGTACATGTTGAGATGAGCTAACACTTTGTAACAATGATTAAATTTGGTTTTCACTAAACATAGCTACCAGAAAAGACTACGATTTTAATGGAATCTTACTAAAAAACATACTTCTATTCTATTTTAGTGATATCAAGTAAACCCAACAAAGATCTTCCAATCATATGATTGGTCAGTTTATTTGAATGCACTAGAAAATGCCTTCACTGAAACGAACAGATATAAAATACCTTGAAGTATAAAATGAGAATTACTGATTCTTTCTAAGGCTTACACAAGAAGTTGAAGCTGAACAAGAGGAATTCAAAAGAAATGAAATCTGCCCTCTTTTACTTTTCTATAGAACATAGAAGCTCCTCTAATACCTTTGGTCCTTTAAGCATCTGCAGAAAAGTTAAATCTAATATATAAAGATCGACATCTACATATAATGTTAAATCTAAGTAGATTTTGTGTTTTGTGGACCTATTACCAATTGCTGTAACTTCGCGCTGAATCCTCCCTTGCAAGATTCTGAAATGCATTATACACAGATCTATCCCATAAAGATAAAAGTAAATTAAATTAATTTAGTCATACTACAAACATAATATGAGTAACTTCCAGAATAATATTCAGAAAGAGATATTGTCTGAAAATTACTTATCATCATCTGAAATATTCAGTAAATAAGAAACAGGAACTTCTAAGAGTATAGTCTCTCAAACTGAATAACAATTGATCGATCGGCAACTAAAAAAGGTACTATGATTCGTGTGGGATATTACTGACCGGTTGATGTTGTTGTTGTCGTCGACGATGTTGATGATGTTGTTGTGATTTCTGTTTTTAATATTGTTGTTGTTTTTTGTGCTATAGGTTTTTTTATTGTCGTTGATGATGTAATATCATTCTTTTCTCCATTTGGCATAGTTACATTATGAAAATATGCCTGTTTTATTTGATCTTCCGTTAATCTAGCGTTCGATAAATCACTATTCAAAAACTGTGCATTTGTCAGATCTGAGTTTCCAAAATCTACTCCTGACAGATTTACACCATTAAAACTAGCACAAACTAAAGATGAACCATCAAATTTCACCTTATCTAATCGACCTCCATCAAATGACACACCATTTAAACTAGCAAATGAAAATATTGCATTTGACATTGATACTTGATCAAAAGAAACACATTGCAAATTCAGTTGATGTAATGTACCAGTTTGACTTTCTAGATGTACATTATCAAAATTTAACTCATTTAAACGGATTATATCATCTAAATTTGTCGTTCTACATCCATTAGTACAATTATTTCTACCAATTAATTGTTTTTCTTTCAGAAATTGTAAAACATCTGCTTTACGTATTGTATCCCATTGACGATGAGCAGCACGATAATATGCATTTGCAAATGCCCATGGATTTTTTGAATCGTTGAGATAGTCATCTTTATCTAATTTATAAATATTATTTAGAAATTCATCATAAAGTGTTTGTTGTCTTAATTCTCTCGATTGTTCAAAATCAAACTTTTGTTTTTTCTCAGCTTGTTGTTTCTGTTGTTGAGACCCAATTGCAGTATAAATAGCCAGAGCTATGGGTATAGCAACTGAAGATATAATACTTAATATATCTTTTAATGTGAAATTCCAAAACGATCGTTTGCTAAAATCTATCATTGTCTCAATCTAATTTCTGAATGAATGCTGTAAATAATTAATCTTTCTTTCTTTTGCCGTTTCTCTTTTATTTAACAACATATTAAGTAACAGTTTTAATTATATTTTCAAAATCAAATGTTACTAAAAAAATAAAAGAAATTAATAAGTATTCATTGCAGACACAACGATAATTAGAAAAACAGTTTCCGGTTACTTTCAGTTTGCTCAACATTGAATTTGATCTACAATAACAAGATTATATAAATACCGGTAAATGAAGATAGATGGAGACGAAGAAAGAAGAAAACTTATACTGTTGATTTAAATATTGGAGATTTCTTCGTTTGTCTAAATACGATACAAAATCAAAAAACTTAATTAATTCTCCGAAAGAATGGCAAATATATGTTGATCGTAACTGTGAAATGATCTGGTCATATTCATTACAAAGTTCGACAAAAACAAGAAAAGAGATATTCTACACTTGATGAATAATTTTTTGTTTTTTCGGATTTTTCACATAACAATCGTTGATATGCAAAAGTTAATCTAAAAGCGTAGTAGAAATAGTTCTATGATCGACTCAAGTTATTTAAATTTATAGTTTATCAAAATTACGAATATAACTACAAGCAAAAGACATTTTTTGTTATGCGTGATATTAAAATGAAAATAGGGTGTGGATGAATGTGGATGTGGTTAAAAATGATGATGATGACGTATGATTTGCTCAAACTCTCACCCCATCCACACCCACCCTTAAGATGGTACAAAAATTTCTAATTATCTTTTCTTTAATGCAGGAAAATCAATATTTTTACCTTAACTTGTCTCACTCAACTGTCCTAAAAACAATGTATATATGGTTTGATACAAATAAAAAAATTCCATCGTGCGGACTAAGTCTAATCAAGCAGTCAAATAGTCCATAAAATATACAGACTGGAAATCTTCTTCATGAGGTTTCGAAGGATTTTCGTAACATAAATTTAGTTTCATTCAATTAAATGTATGCCGTTTGATAGAGTTTGTCGAGATATTTAGAATAAGCTACATACTTCAAAAGTAGCTCTGACTTTTACTATCATTAGAATCCGTTAGATGTCGTCGAAAATCTGAATACACTATTCCGTAGCTTTCAACGAACTACGACTAGTTCACATTATCAGATGAATCTAAAAACAACTTCGTGCTTTGATGGATGGAGATTGGTTTATATTTGCTTGGAATTCGTCGATTTCTTTTTCTTGCATAATTATTTTATATTCGAATCTTGCAACATTAAACTGTTTTTAAAAAGAATCTAAGATCAGAATGCATGAAAAAAAATACGAAGAAAAATGAAGAATGTGCATAAACAAGTAATGATAGTATTGACAAAAGAAAAGAAATTATTTATCTCTTTGAAAAAATAACCTTGTTAACAATTTATTTCTATTCCTTTTTTGTCATATGACTTATAATCCTTTGTTGGATTTTTTCTTCTATTTTTCTTTCGATTCATTTTCATATAAAATATTCCAACTTAATTAACTATTTTTTTTCTCGTATTACGAATGTTTATTTCAAAACGACAAATAAATAGCTATTCAATGTTTGTACATACTTTTTCTTTCTTCGTCGAAGTTTTGTCATGAATAGGAAGAAAACAGATATATCAAATCACCATATTATGTCACTTTACATTACAAAAATAATGACGAAATAAAAAAATATGGTTTGTGAAGGTAATTTCTAAGAGGAAAAAATAAGAAGAGAAAAAATATCATATTCATATTTGTTTTTTTCTTTCATTCGTATTTAGGTATGTTTGGTGAGTATTTACCAAACGTTATTTTCGATGATATATTTTCAAAGATATTTAAGAAAAGAGTGTTGTTGTTTCATTTTTTATTTGTAAGATATTCCTGATGTTTTAATCTACCATGAGTCAATCAGCAACGACAAATTCTACTGATTATCATACATTAGATGACTCAGAAATAGAATGACAAATTCTATGAAAGTTAAATGATGTTATTGATAAAAAGATATACTAATACAGGTACTAGCATAACTGATTCGAAACTTTCGTATTCATCTCTACATATTATGCGTAAGTCTCAATGAGATTAAGTCAATTCTAATAAGCATTTATGAGTTTAGATGTGAATTAATGAGAACTCACTAACAAAAATACTCTCAATCGACATTAAAAAGCATCATGAAAATCGTTTACATTTTGTATTTGAAATTAAGACGAAATTAATTCTCAATTATTGTCCAACCAATTTAGATATCACATTACTTTTACCAATCAGATTTTGTCACAATAAAATTCTTTTTAGATATTTTCTATACATTTATATTGAACGAGATGGCAATGGCAAACAATAAAGCACACTGTTTCACATGTAATAAAGAAAAAATAACATTTCCTTGTAGAGGATGTTTAAAGGAATTTTGTTTAATTCATTTAACACAACATCAACAACTATTAAATGAAGAATTAAATCATATTATTAATGATTATGACCAGTTTAAGCAAAGAATCAACGAACAAAAACAAAATCCACAAAATCTACAAAACTGTTCATTAATAAAACAAATCGATCAATGGGAAATAGAATCAATTAAAATAATTCAACGAAAAGCACAAAATTGTAGAGAAATTGTTATTAAGTCTTCCGAAACATCTATTGGTCATATTGAAAAGAAATTTAAGGATTTATCTGAACAAATAAAAGAAATTCATAAAGAAAATGAATTTAATGAAATGAATTTAAGTTATTTAAAAAATCAATTAATTCAAATTACACAAGAATTAAATAATTCATCAAATATTTCTATTAAAGAAGATTCACAACCATTTATTAATGAAATTTCAATTATTTCATCAAAAAGTAAGTTTTTAAAATATAATTTCTGAAAGAATAATTCTCATTTTTTACAAAACTATATTGAAAAACTATAATACAAAGAAAAGGAAAGTTGAAGAAGATAAAACAATTGAGAATATTATTTGTTTATTTAATCAATAATAACAGTATTAATAGAAATAAAAAATTTAATTTATTTTTATGCAAAAAAACCCAGAGAATATGAAATAAAATTTTATGAAAGAAAAATTTTTTTCAGATTGCAAACTTCATCAATAAAACTTTCATGAGTTTGACATCAACTGTTAGAAAATGTCAATATATACTAATTGATGAATGTTGAAAAGAATTCGACGAATTGTGATAGTTATACATCTATGTAACAATCAAATAGAAATTCTCTTTTATTTTTATTTTGGTATTAGAAAAAATAAAAATAATTGGATTAAATTTTCTTTATTTAACAGAAATATTTAAGAATTATTTTCGACGTTTGAATAAATCAATGATGATTAAAATATTCTTTTCAAATGTAAAAACTATCAACAAGTGCCAAACAGCTCATTTTATGATTTTAAAATCCATTGGAATTTCATTGGATCTCAGAAATTACTGATTCCATTTATTCATTCATAGTACGAATTTTCTCAAGTGAATATCAAAGAAATCTTTTCGAAGTTTAATATTATAGAAATATGTTTTATTAAGGAGAGAATGTTTATAATTTTGTTTATGATTATTAATTTAGATAACTAACAAAAATAGTTCATTTTGTTCATATCAATTCGTGAAGGAAAATATTTTTTGTGATTGAAATCATTTTTTAATAAAAACTAAATCAAATGAATCTCTAAAAGAATAACTTTAAAACTTTCTTTATTTTATTATGACTATATAAATTGATAGATCCATAAATAGATTTATACATTAACATTTTATGATAAATAATGGATAAATTATACTTGATCTTATTTTAATGAGATTTATGTAATTATTTTAGAAGTCTCTCTTCTCTTTTATTAATAGCCTTTACTAATTTTTCCTTTATTCTTCGATGAGAAACAACTTTTTTTCTTTTTCTTTTTCTTTTTCCATTCATTAAAATCTTTTGTTTTCATCGTTTTCTAGAACCATCATTCAATAAATGCAAACAAAATGCCATCACTGTGGCTGGTGGAAATGGACATGGATATGGACAAGAATTAAACCAACTCAATTGGCCTCAAGGAATGTTTATTGATGAAAACAAAAATATTTTCATTGCAGATCCTGGCAATCATCGTATTGTTTAATGGATAAATAATGCAAAAGAAGGACAAATCATTGCGGGTGGAAATGGCAAAGGAGATAGAATGAATCAATTAAATTATCCAACAGATGTGACTATGGATCCACAAAATCACTCGATTATTATTGCTGATTCTTTGAATAGACAAGTGATTCAATGGTTGAATCAAAAGCAACAAATTCTCATTGAGGATATTGACTGTTATGGTGTGGCAATGGATAAACAAGGATATCTTTATGTTTCTGATTGTATGAAGAATGAAGTGAGACGATGGAAAATGGGTGAATACAATGAAGGAATTATAGTGGCAGGTAGCAATGAAAAAGGAGATCAACTCAATCAACTGCATTATCCTACGTTTATCTTTGTTGATAAAGATCAATCGGTTTATGTATCAGATTGCTTCAATAATCGTGTGATGAAATGGAAAAAAGATGCAAACGAAGGAACAATTGTAGCTGGGGGAAATGGTTGTGGAGAAAATCTCAATCAATTGGCTTTTCCTCAAGGAGTAATTGTTGACGATTTGGGTCAAATTTATGTGGCAGATTGGCGGAATCATCGAATAATATGTTGGTGTGAAGGAAGAAAAGAAGGTGAAGTTGTTGTTGGTGGACATCGTAAAGGAGATCAATCAAATCAATTGAATGGTCCCCATGGTTTATCTTTTGATGATGAAAGAAATCTTTATGTTGTTGATAATCGTAATCATCGAATTCAAAAATTTGAAGTAGATTTGTAAATGAAATTTTTTGTTAAACAAAAAATCGAGAAATAAAAATAAAAGAAGTATTCGGATAAGAATACAATAAAGAAGTCCCGATAAATAAATGTTAAGTTCTTCATCTTTTGTTGATTTTTGTTGAATTTCATAGGAGAAAAGAAAGTTTTATGTTTGATAAAATTATATTTGAATATTTTTATTTTGTCGATTTAATAAAACTTGAGAATTGTTCAAAATTGAAAGGAGAAAAGAAATATTTTATGCAAAATTAATTATAAAAATCTAAATGAAATGACTTTTATTGAACAAAACAAATGTTGAAAGGATTTTTGTTTGATTTTAGAAAAAATTTGTTAGTAGAAATTGATTTATCAAAATGAAAACAAAAAAATAATTTTGAAAGAAAAATGTGCTAAAGATTTGAGATAAAATGAAAAATTAATGAAAGTTTTATAAATGATGCAAAATTTATATTTGATTATTAATCTGAAATATTTTTATAAATAACAAAAAATGTTTATTATCAAATTAGAATCGTTTGAAGTTGATAGGCATTTAACCAAATAATTGAGTTGCATGATAAAATAAATTCTCAAATTATTTTGTCAAAAATCCATGTGGTTTCAAGAAAGTGTTATTTGTTCTCAAAAATAAAATAAAAATATTTATATCATTTGAGGATTTTATGTTTGAAAAGAGACTTTTAAAATATATTTTCATACATATGTTAAACAATGAAAGCAAAACAAGAAAATTACAGATAAAATGATCATAACGTGATTATTTTTGACATTCACTAATATCAACATCTGAATGACATGAGAAATAAATCAAAAATACAAATTTATTTTAATATAATCATATTTATCATGATGATACAAATAAAAAATAAATTATGAATTTCATATAAATAGATATATATTATATACTAATATTAATTACGAAAATTTTTCATTTAATTTTATAATAATGTATTAAATATATGTAATCATATATATTCAACTTAAATAATGGTATGTTTATCAATGGTTTTATTTTCGATAGATTTTCTTTTACTAGAAAATTTATTTGATGAAAAAGGAATTCTTATTTATATCGAAATAATTATAAAACATCACACGTCTAGAAATTCAATTTTTCGAAATAATATGAAAAAATAATGAAAAAGAGTAAGACACATTAACTATTTTGACCACGAAAATGATGATTATGATGATGAAAACGAACAGGAAAATGTAGTTGAGTGGAATAAGAGATTGATATATCATTCATGTGGTAGATAAAGATCTATGTTTAGGGTTCACTTACATCGAAATCTACATAAAAACATTCTTTCATTGAATAAATATCATAAAAATTGTTTGATTTTTCATTTTAAACTAAAATCAAAATTCAGCCAAATTCCAAGGCTGACTAGTCGAAATTGAATTTTTTTTTGACTAGTCAGCCTTGGAATTTCAATCTCGTCTGATATATTCTCAGTCCAAATTGAAATTTCAATCCTGACTAGTCAAGTTTGACTGAATTGTAATATTTGCTATCACATTCTATAAAATCATATAAGAATATATAATTCATTTCTTCTATCAACTTCTATGCAAAGATATGGCAACGGCAAAAAACAAAACAATATGTTTTAAGTGTAATGAAGATAAAATAACATATCCTTGTGAAGGATGTTCACAAAGATTTTGTTTAATAGATTTGACAGAACATCGTCAACTATTAACTAGTGAATTACATCATATCACCAATGAATATAATGAATTTAAACAAACAATGAATGAACAAAAAGAAAATTCACAAAATGATTTATTAATAGAGCAAATTAATCAATGGGAAATCGAATCAATTGAAAAAGTTCAACAAAAGGCCCAAGAGTACAGAGAAATTATTATTAAATCATCACAAACATGTATTAAAGATATTGAAACGAAGCTTAATAATTTACGTGAACAAATAAAACAAATGCAAAAACAAAATGAGTTTAATGAAATTGATTTAAATTATTTAAGAAATCAATTAATAGAAATTACACAAGAATTCAACAATCTATCAAAGATTTCTATTAAAAAAGAGTCACAACCATTTATTAATGATATTTCAATTATATTATCAAAAAGTAAGTTTTTACCAAATAGTTTCTAACTGGATAATTCTCATTTTCTATGCTATTATTTTAAACAACTATAATACAAAGAAAAATAATGATGAAGAAAATAAAATTTATTTGATAAGAAATATTTTTCTAAATATTCATACTAAAATCTAACAGATTATCATCTTTATATTATAAATAGAATAGTAAAAACAAATTTTCTTCTTTTCATTAAAATCCTTTTTTTCATTATTTTCTAGAACCAAAACTTAACAAATGGAAACAAAATGCCATCACTGTAGCTGGTAGAAATGGAGAAGGACAAGAATTAAATCAACTCAGTCACCCTGCAGAAATCTTTGTTGATAAAAACAAAAATATTTTCATTGCTGATAGTTTTAATCATCGTATTGTTGAATGGAAATATAATGCAAACGAAGGACAAATTATTGCAGGTGGAAATGGGCAAGGAAATCGAATGAATCAATTGGATCGACCACCAAATATGATTGTTGATCAACAAAATCATTCGATCATCATTGCTGATCGTTATAACAGACGAGTGATTCAATGGTCGAACCAAAATCAACAAATTCTAATTGATAATACTGACTGTTGTGGCTTAGCAATGGACAAAAGCGGATTTCTTTATGTTTCGGATCATAAAAAGAATGAAGTAAGACGATGGAAAATGGGAGAATACAACAATGAAGGAATTATAGTGGCAGGTGGAAATGGACAAGGAAATCAACTTAATCAACTCAATAGTCCAGGTTTAATCTTTGTTGATGAAAATCAATCTGTTTATGTAGCAGATTGGTGCAATCACCGTGTAGTGAAATGGAGAAAAGATGCAAAAGAAGGACACATTGTGGCTGGAGAAAATGGCCAAGGAGAAAATCTTAATCAATTGACTTATCCTGAAGCAGTAACTGTCGATCGTTTGGGTCAAATCTATGTGGCAGATTGTGCGAATCATCGAATAATGCGTTGGTGTGAAGGAAAAGAAGAAGGTGAAATTGTTGTTGGTGGAAATGGTGCAGGAAATCAACCAAATCAATTGAATGGCCCCTGTGGTTTATCTTTTGATGATGAAGGAAATCTTTATGTTGCTGATTATTTGAATAATCGAATTCAAAAATTTGAAATAGAGTTGTGAATGAAATTTTTTGTTGAATAAAAATCAAGAAATAAAATTAAAAGAAAAAGTCGAATAGAATATGAAGAACAAGGAAAAATCTTTTTAGTTATTTTTCCTTTGAAATTGAATTTAACTTGATAATTTTGACTAAGAAATTCGAATAAATAAATGTTAAATAGCTCATCTTTTATTGATTTTGAAAATACTTTTTATAAAGTAGTCACAAGAATTTGGGAGAAACGTTTTTTGACCACCGAAAAAGGGAGAAATGATCACTTAATTAGTTGTATGTGAAATGATCACCGAAAAAGG